ATTTTTTATATCTTTATTTTTGAGCAGTTTACATCCATTTTTAGTCAATGCAACACTCACAGGTCATTATGAGCTTCAACAACAGTCACCAAACCCATCATGAGCTAAGATGCATGTGGGAAACAAGCTCCCGATTCATGTTCAATTTCTTATTTATTTCTCCACATATCTTCGAGCTCTGTGACACATTTCATATCAGATTTTACTGTGTGACATTTAAAGACACTTGCTTTCCCGAGCCATCTCACCTACGCCTCAACCTTTCACGTTTCTCCCTCACTCTTCCCCCTGAAACTTTCCCTCTCGCCACCCCTTGTCCCCATCCATCCAAACCCCCCCCCACGGGTTGAAACCTTACTCGTGGATAAATTTAGCAGCAGTGTGACCCAATGTTCACTGACACACTTCTCCGCACCTCTCCCTCTCTCATGCCGTTTGTCTATCTCTCGGCCCATCTCTCCCAGGAGGCCAGTTGTATCGACAGATGGGGGGGCAATAACCTCCACACGAAAACAATGACAAGCTATTGACACTATTACAAACTTAACATAGCGTTTCATCCTGTAGCTACTGGTGTAATGGCGAGCGGTTAAATTATTACATTATCGCGGCCTCTGTAATTGAACAGACACATCGAGCGGCTGTGATATCGTATGAAATTTAATGGCTTAATCGTCTACATCCCTGTCATTCCCGTCTGCAAGACATTTGGCAGGTGAACATTATCCCTTTTAGTAGCCTGTACCATCGGAGACTTATGAGATCCATTTCACTGCTGTTGACATTCTCGCAGATTGAGACTCGTCGCACAACCTCATTTTTAACCACATGCATCACACACATTGTAACACACAACCAGGTGTATCGAGGCGAGCACCAACACACAGTGGGGCTGCAGATTGAATACACGAGCAGCTCTCTGTTGTCGTCGCCTCTCCGGAGCGTGTGTCAGCGAGACACGGGTCCACAGAGGGAGCTTCCTCCTTGTTAAGGTCAGAGGTCAACAACAGCTGCGTGACTTGGAAGTAGTTAACACAACTTTACGAACCCAGCGAGCATTAATTTGCAGGTCACAGGGTGTTTAGTTGTCTGGGTCTGAGTCGGGATCAAACTGGCTGAAAAGTTTTTTTTAGCCGTCTCAGTTGAAAACCGTGGCTGTGGATAACGAGTCCATCACTTCTAAGTAGTTTCATCCAAAATCCAACATTGAAGATTGTGGTCAATTGTACAGGTGTAGCTCATAAAGTGGCCACAGAGTTCAGGTAATGATGATGGGGAAAACTGTTTTGAATTCCTAAACACGGCAACAACATCCTTAGACATTGTGCAACATTTCTATGTCCGTAATTACAAGTTCTCAGTTGTCAGAGTTGTCACTCGCTAACAACTGTGCATTAAAAAACATCTAACAAAACAGGGAAAGAAAAGATAGTGTTCAAATTGTGTACGCACTTAATATGAAAATGTACAACTAGTGCAACAACCTTTTAATGCAGGTCAGCTGAACATCCAAAAATTGTCTGAATGAAAGATATATATATGCCATTCATTTCCTGATAATTATTACCAAATCACACTTACACACTTACATTTACAGAACACTATGATGATGATTATTATTATTGTACAAAATAAATTAATCATTACTGTGTTGATTTTTATTTTTACTGCTGCTCATTATATTTGTATCTAATTTCTTTCTATTATTCAAACTTCAGTTTATACTGTCTAATCCTGTTTTATACTAAACCTTGTGTTAACGGCAATTAAAGGACTACACAAATAAATAATGATGTTTCCAATGTTTATCTTTTCCTGTAATATCTACTAGTTTCTTCTAGAACTACTGCTGATTGTTTATATCTCAGTGTGGAGCAAGTCCTGCCTAAAATGTGAAATATCATTTATTAGATGCAGTTGAAACAACAGTTATCTAAACATCTAATGAAGTACTTACCTTTTTACTAAATTAAACTGTTTAAATGTAAACACTTTACAGGGAATAAGCAGATATCTAATATTTACTTCCACCATCAGACATATGTGAAGATCTTGTCTAAAATCATAAGGCTCTAATTTGCGATCTCATGCACAAAACACACAATCACAGCTTTGACACCTGAGACATTAAGCCTGGAAATAGTGTAATTAATTAAGATTTCTTATTGATATCTGACCAGTGGGCCCCCAAGAGTCTTCAGGACAGGACGGCTGGGAAACAAGGTTTTGATTTCGTCAATTGTCCATCGTCTGAAAGCAGAAGAGGAGCCGGCGCTCTCTCTCACCGCTCCTCCTCCTCACTTTGTCAGTTGTTCAGGCTGCTTTAACATAACAAACTGTGCATCACACACTCCAGCTGCTTCAACCACTGGTGCTCATATATCTGTCATTAGGAATCTTATAATTCATTAACAACACCAATGACAAAAAAGAAAAAAAACTGAATGCAAAGTCAATGCTTGAAAAACATCTGAAAAACAGAAAAAAGAATCTGATGCTGAGATCCATTCGTGTCCAAACGACAGATGTGATTGGACAACAAGAGGATTAAAGAAATGAATAGGTTTGGTGGGGAAAGACCACCACACATCTCATGATGTTCTTGAGAGGAATGACCATCATTCTGGATGAGTATTTGAACAGATGAACTGAAGGATATAGTGACATGACTTCATCTCAACAAGCACATCTAACCTGTCTGCTCAGGTTTCCTGTATATAGGTATTTATATCCACCAACACATGAAAACAGCAATGACTTTACAAGGCTGCAGCCTGAGAAGGCGTACAGATAGAAGGCAGGAAAAAGGGTCATATAGACGCAACATGCTTCAGGATATAATCTAGGGAATGCAAAAAAAAAAAACCCACAGTCAATAACAGTCAAATGCAAGAGATCAAATAAAAGCTCAGTGTTTCTATACCAAATAAAAAATAAAATCCCTGTTTACCGCAGGGATGATGTTCCATTTATCGCCTTCACTCTGCATTTTATAACGTGGGAGGAGTGAAACCAGCGGAGACTGTTAACGTGTTTGAGGGCTGTACAAATAGATATGACATAAAGCAGCAAAAATCTTGCTCGAGAAGAAAAGAGAATGGACGAGGAGGAGATAAAGAGCACAGATTCGATAAGGAGGGATCAGAGGGAGCGAATCAGGAGAGAAAAAAAACGCAGCTTGTTGATGAGATGGGATGCAACAGGTGAAATCACATGAACAGTTGGAAAAGTAAGGAAAGGAGGGGGGTGAAAGAATTAGCGAAAGTAAATACAGAACAGTAAAGGATGGTTAGAGAAGATTAAACGACAGGTGGGGAGATGGAGAGATGAGGGAGAGGCAGGTGAAGGGAGATAAAACGAGGAGACATTTTAAGAGGGGACAGCAAACAGACAGGCAGGTGGAGGAAGATTTGGTAAAGCCCTACCAGGGTCTGTTGGTATCTCAGAGCCTTCCTTTGCGACGCATCTGCAGCCATTGACACGCTGTCACTGATCCAAAAATAACCTTGCTGGACACCCCAGCATTTCCAATGGCGTTGGCAAAACCATACACACACTCTCTCTCACTTATACCCTGTATACACACTTCAGGCCAGGTCGAATAAACACACCAAGATCTTAAGATCTCTCTCTACACACTCATTCTCCAAAACCCTGGTCACACAGAGGAAATCAAAAAACACAGATGAGGTCCGTCCCAAACGCGCTCTTCTCCAGATGATCCAGAGGCTGCGAGCCATCCAGCTCTGCCGCGGGACTGACGGACACAGGGGCAGAAATCAGACAGGCGGACAAAGCAGAGTAAAGCCGTCTGATGAGGCAGCGAAGGACGCAGTGCTTTCCTTTATTAGAACTGCAGACACCTAATAACACACACACACAACTTGTTGCCCTTAGCAGCACCCTCCCTGCCAGCCGGTCATTAGGTGTGTGTGTGTGTGTGTTTTCGGGTGGACTGTTCTTGTTTGGACAGGGGTGGCGGGTTGGGGGTTGGAGGGGCACCCCCCATAGGGCTGCCCCTGCAACGTGAGCAGGAAGGTGCACACGACACCTCAATGACAGCTCACACTTAATCAGCCAATGATGCAAGGCAATCCCCATAATATTCACATGCTATGGCAGCCGTGCCTTATGGGAGGAAAAAAAGATTGCCCTCCCACAGTCAAACACACGCCACACAAATGCTCAGGACTGTAAAGTGATCTCCTTATTGCTTAACCTCTTTAGCAGGTTCAGATATCCACGGGAGCTTATACAGGAAGGGGGCTAAGCGTATATATATGTTGCACATCACTAAAAGCTGAAAAGCTCACAAGCCTTCGCTGTAGACCAGCACTGTTCTGCACCCCCAGAGACCACATCCCACTCAAGACATGTTAATCTAAACATCTCTAACTCGTTGGAGCTCTGGTTCCTCTGCGCTCATGTTGATGAAACAGGCGGCCATTATGAAAACCACAAAGACACAGAGACACACACAGATCCCCCTTAACCCCGCCCCGCTTTGTGGTCCACACGCCAGCACATAACACCCTAATCTCACAGCTACACCGGAGGCCAGCGAGAAATGTGTTACTCTGACCGCCGGCGTGTGTATGCATGTGTGTGTATATGCATGTGTATGTGTCAAGAGAGAATGACTGCAGACAGCTGGCTGGGCCTCTATCTGATACACTAAGAACATTATCGCTGGGCAGCATGCAGTGCAAGAGATACATACGTCCCACTCACAACATGGAGAGACCTGAGCGCAGCGGAATAGTGGGGTGCCAGTTATACTATACCTGAGAACGGAGAGGACGGGCTGTACGCTGGGAACAACACACACAAACACAGCAACAAGGAGGATCAAATAAAGTGAAGCATGCAAAGGAGAAGCCGAGGTGCACAGAGGGCTCACACACTCGTTCTGCAGGAATTGGCTTAAATCAGACTAATGCATCGTCAGATCCACACATGTGCACATGCAACTGGAAGAAAAACCACTTAAATTTGTCTTGTTTAAAAGCCGTGGCCTGTTTATTGTATAGGACATTTGGCAGTCACTGCTGTTGACAGAAATAAAAACTTCTCCTGGCCCCCCCACACTGACACGCCATTAGAACCTGGCAGTAAATATTAACCTTCAGAAAACATCTCACTCTGCAGCAGGGTTACCCTTTTATACTACTCCAATGTTTTTGTTTTTTACATTGCATTCCTAATTATAAAAATGAGGATATTGCAGACCAGGGTACACTCTACCTCACAGAGTTAAAATAGTTACAGATCAATACTGTTGAACCATATATTCTGTTTTCTTCTCTACAACACTGTTGTAACTAAACACACTTTGCCTGGTCAGGTCTTTTCTGGGAAACATCGATGCTCTCAGCCTCAAAAATGGATTTCCTCACTGTGCGGGGGTGCCTCAGTGATACAATATACTGTGAAAGCACCATCATGGTGATATATTTGTCTTATACATGTATCCTCACATGGCACATGTGGCAATAGAAAACTGCTTCTTTTTTATGGAAGACATAATACATGTTTCTTTTAAGTACTATAACACCAAAATATAGTGGTGGTGGTGGGGGGAGGGGGGTGTCGCACAGGGGGACACCATTAGGAGTCAGCTAGCATAAAGGTCAGAGTTCATACAGTAGGTGTAAGACCCCACAAGTAGCACCACATTCCCCTGACAGATCCACAGTAACACAGATGATATGAGGAGAACTTGGAGTGGGTGCCTTCATGAAATATGAGCTTAAAAAGTTGATTGAACATCCAAACAAAGGGATCGAAACCCTCTGAGATGTTGCCCTGAAGCTGCCTTGTAAGCCAAACTATGTAAGAAAAAAAGCATGAACAGCCGTGACTTTACAGTTTTATCATCGCTGCAGCTGACTGTCGCTAAAATAAGCACAACAGTAAAGCACATATAAATAATATTGATCAGCGAGAGATGGTGAAATGTATTTCCCTCTGCTGTGCTGCCCCCTGTCTGTCACTACACTGATAACAGGAATTGGCAACAACTTTTCACAAACGTGTACAAATGAAACATAATGGGATTCTTATAAAAACAATTTCATACAAAATAAAGCCACAAAAATAGATCTGTGTATAAAATACAGTTAAAAAAGAGAGACTTGAGAAACCTGATGTAGCTGTGCAGTAGGAAAACAAAAAATACATTTGTCTTTGATTAAAAGGATTAAAATCTAAACCCACTAACTGGCATAGAGTACAGACACAGATAAACGAGTAAGCTATATGCTAATATGTTGTTCAGTTCCAAATGTATACAGATTAAACGTGTGCTCCTTATTCCTTTCCAACATTTGTGTGTGTGTGTGTGTGTGTGTGTGTGTGTGTGTGTGTGTGTGCATAGGCAGTATTTACAAAAATATATGAATGAACAAATCCTGTTTGGTTGTAACGGGGTGTGTGTGTGTCTGTCACCAATTGGAATGAAAACAGTTGTGTGCCGTTATTGTCAGGTTAGGAATGGTCTGTGTGTGATTATCGCAGTATGTGCATATGTGCATGTGATTGATACTAGGGCTGGTACTTGGGGAACAGGAAGAGGTCTTTGCACAAAGAGCTGGTGAACTCCGACATCTCTTTGCAGCGGTGGTGGGGAGTACCCGGGGCGAAACCCTCCCGCTCCTTGATACGCCCGTTGACCTGACAGACGAGTGAAAAGGGTCAATAAAACAGCAGCCATAAAAGCATGATTTACACTGTGTATTTAGTGTGTGCACATATTCACCTGCACCAGCATGTCAGCGATGTGTGTGTCTCTGGCATGTTCCCGGAGTGTTTTGTTTAGTTCCTGGATGAACCAGGATCCTCTCTTGGTGTTTCGCATGGCTGCTGTGCCTTAAGGAGGAAGACATCCAACAGTACAGGCTTAATACATCGAGATGAGATGCAGGGGGCAAAGCAAAGGTCTTTCTTTTATACTGGAAACGAAAACTGAAAAAATTGGAATTTTGATTTTAAAATTTTGAAATTATTTTTTTATATAATAACTATAATTTAAAATTGTATAATATATGTTTTCCCCATTGGCTAAAGCTCAGTACTTTGGATCCACCGCTGCACATCAGTACCAGCTCATTCATTTGTCCACACATTTAATACCATACACATTTCTCAAACAAATCCACACTAGAATAAGAAAAAGGTACAAACTTACTAATTCTCTGACCTTTGAGAGATGCGAAGCCGCAGATCATATCAGACCGCTGTGGCAGTTTAATCCTGGGCCTCCCCATGTCTCCTCTTTGTCTGGAGGTTGTGTCCCCCTGTCCTTCCCTCCCAGCGTCTCGCTGTTCACAGCTCGGTGAGCAGGTCCTCCCTGGTCCGTCTATCTGCTCCACTCCACAGTCCATCTCGTCTGGTTGTCAACAAGGTTTCAATTTAGCCTTAAACAACTGACAGATTTTTGTTATACTTGGTGAAAAAGAACAGGGCAGCAGAAGTTTATATTTGTCTTCATTAGGACAAAGACGTTTTTTGACATAACAAAACCGCTCAGACAAAACATTGCAGCATAACAGTGTATAATCCAGGACAAAATCTTAGTATTGATCATTTTACAAACCCTTACAGATTTTCTGCAAAACAACTTTCTGTGATAAACCAAACACTGAAAAACAAATTATGTAAAAGTCACATGTAAGAAAAAAATTGATTATTTAAATAATCAGCAGAATTTGTATCTCTAAATTGTAGACTTTGAATACAGGAGCCCTGATTTCCATCTGGGCAATTCCTACTGTATTTTCATAACCCATGAAACCCTGAACACTTAAATAAATGAATATTTGCAGAAGCATTGCCCAACCACACCTATTGGCCTTTCAGTAGCACACCTGTGGTGACGCGAGGAGACATTAATTAGGATCGCTCATGAGGGGTCTGAGGATTTGTCAGGGGCATCATCATCTGTGTAGTCAGGCCATAACCTCCATCACATAGACTCACTAATAAGCTGGGAGCCTGTTAAGCCATAAATTAATGACGTGTTTTTCTTTATTCAAACTAGTCGCAGCACATTGGAATATGACATATTATTATACAATACAACGAGCAGCTGCAGGTTTATTGTCAGTGAGCAGGAGGATGAGTGTAGACAACATCCGGACGAGCAGAGGGACAGCTGCTCTGTTCTCGTGCTCTTCAGGATGTTGCTGAGATCCAAGAGATTTAACAAATATGGCCTAACATTTGCTCAGTTATTTGTTTATTAATACTAGGGATGTGCAAACTCTAAAGACGCCACGGTACTCAATCTTTTTTTCTTTTTTACAGTACCGGAGTTACCGAACAATACTGACCTGCCACTGCATGACGGTTGCCGCTGCTGCTTCAGGATCGGGGCAGGCACACATTGCATGTCCGGAGTGTGTTGAAGTAAATGGGATTTATTGTTTTCTTTTTGGTTTTTGCTGTGGTTTCATGGTATCGACTACTAACCTTTTGGTATCGTGACTAATTAATACACACACTTAGTGATTCTTTATGGTCTTACCTCCTCTGCAGGCCTGGACAAAGAACATCTTGGGTTTATTTTGTAGCAGTGGACAGTGTGAATTATCAAAGGCCTCAAACATCCAGTCCAGCTGAAAATAACGTGTCACACATTAAATGTCTGAAAAGGGATTAAATCTTTCAATGAAATTACATACATCAGCAAAGAAAATCTTCAGAGAACCAGACCTGCAGGAGCTGTCCGTCTGTACCATACACAGCTCCCTCCACTCCATGGGAGAGCAGACACACCACGCAGCTGTCCACTGTTCGGTGGTCTGGTCGTTGGCAGAAATTCTTAATGCACAACCTCATGTCCTAGACAAAGAATAAGGAATCAGGAAAACTGTGTCTAAGCCTTCTTCTGAGTTTGACTATTTCATTTAATTTCATTTAAAGTCAAGGTCTCCCCACTCTCACAGCCAATATTCAGTTTGATTGTGAATCTTCTTAAAGTGTCTTTGAACAAGACAGTGACAGCCCACACACTTACTCATTCAGACTTTATAAGTACAGGCTAATTGACTGAAATGTAAAATATGTGCATACTTATTGATAACCACACTGAAATGCGATAAAAGTGGAACCTGAGGTAGAAAAACTTGCCAAACAAATCTTACAATATGAGAGCAACTATGGCACCAATACAGGCTAAGTGACATAGTTAGAATGATTTAAGGTCAAAAGGTTATTTCACTTTCCTTTTTCTGTGTTTGTCAGTGGAATAAGATGGATGCTTCACAGTTCAAACAAAATCCTCTGATCATGATGAGCCTGTGCATGTGTGTGTGTGTGCGCTACCTGAGCAGTGAGGTCTCTGTGGACAGTAACCAGGTAGTCCAGCTCTGTAAAGACCTTCCTGAGGACCTCATCGTCGACTTCACCTCCCTTCCTGGTGTCAAGTTCAGCAGCAGTAAAAGGGTCAAAGGTCACATTACTGATCACCAAGGCGAAACCACGAGGGGATGAAGACATTCTGTATGACTGGAGCGGGGGAAATACATGAAAACAGAGGAAAGAATGGATCAGTGAGTCCAAAAATAAACCCAGACAAGTTTAATATATGCATCTCTGCATTTACTGCTCAATACTGACTCATATCCAGAAAAGAGGTGTCACACTCAAGATATATCACATGTCTTACCGGTAATATACAGGTAAAGCTTAACAGAGTAAAGCTGACAAAAACCTGTTGAGCTGACCTGGTGATGACAAGTATTTTACCTGCTGGCAATGAGAGAGGTAAAAGTCAGGAGTGCAGGGGAGCACAGGCATGTTGATGGGACTGTCTGCATCCAGACTAAACTCCATGGACTCTGCAGCACACACACAAACAAACCAAAATCTGTTTGTTACAAATTAATGCACTGATTCAAATATTTCAATGAATGTGTGCTCCTGCCAGCAGCAGTGGAGTGAGAACAAACTCTGTACAACGGTGCTGTGAATGAGTCACTCTCAGGGCGTGGTGCCGGCAGGTACAGACAGGAGCCTGATACTAGAGCAAAAGCTGCCTACATTGCTCTCAGTGATAAGATTATATAATCAACAACTCACACAAATAAAATTCATCCAAACAGCTGCTGGCTACAAAGATCTTGTGTTCAAGCGTTTAAAATCACCTGTGTTTTAAAATTGAAAAACACTTTTGTCCAGACACCGCCCTGTGTCTCCAGGGAAACAGAAAAATAACAACACCAGATACAAAAAACGTATTTTAACCTGAATGTACGATAACACTGCAACACCACTCACCATGTGTCCTTGCTCTTTTAACCTCCTGGGTGGGATGTGGCAAAGAAGAGTCTGAAAGCCTCTGAAATTCAAATCATCAAAAACAATACATTAGTGGCGTTTAGACACCATATTAGACCAATAATGATGGGTTTGGTCTTTTCAATGGCAGCAGCTGCTGTTGTTTGATGTAGGAATATGACAACTTTAATCCTAACTTAACTTTTAGTAAAACTCCTGCCAGCTGTCTGACTAACCCAGCAGGCCATCAGGTTGTCAATTTAAGATGGATGTAGTTTGTATTTCTCACGACTGATTTCTTATTGCTTCCTGTTTTCTTTGTCCTCTGTCTCTCATCGTTCCTGTCCTCCTCCCTGACTGGGACCAACCCTCTGAATGAGGACTCTAAGCGTAGGCAGCCACCTGAGGCTTGGACTGAGAATGACTTCACTCTTTTCCTCTGTCTAATGAGGATCTCTGCAGAAGATCATACAACTGGAGCATACCATTATTAGAGCTTTTCTTCAAACTTTGACCATGCGTAATGGAGCTGACACATGAAACCTTATTAAATGATCAATAATAAAGGACAGTTTTTGTTCAGTCTTTGTTTTTTGAATACTATGAAGAATGTGTGTCTTGTGAATGTTGTTCAAACTCGATTTTTGGAAAAGGTGACGCTACTTATCCTTAGTGAACAACTCTGCTCACCTCTCTCTTCCTTTCTGTTGACTGTACAACCAGCTGCTCTGTCTTTCCCTCTGGTTCTTCTCCAGGCTGAATACTCTGTGAGTACAAAACAGTCTATAACTGCTCTAGGTTTGGTAATAATCTGCTTTTTCTGTGTGAGTTGTGTGATTTTTACTGACGTATACACTCACCTCTATGTGTGTCTCTTTGCCATCTTTTTCTGGTGATTGTGTGAGCAGTTCGCACAGATGCTGCTGCTCAGTTTCTCGCAGAGCTGCACAGAATTGGCTAAAGGCTCTGGGTCCTCGCTTCGGTAAAAGTTGTAGCAAACGGCAGCTTCGTTTCACAGAAGTTTGCTCAGCCTCGAGTGGAGGAGATTAGATCAGAAAACTAAGGATCACTAACAAAGATTAAAGCTAATAAAACATTTGTTTCATCATTTTCACATCCATTATATCATGACATTTTAATCTCACAGATAAATCATGGGAGTGTTTGGAGGTTGTTCTGACTCCAAGGTTAGGATACGCTAAAATTAATTACTTATGCACTGTGCAAATATTTTGAGGAGGTTTAATATTTAATTGATCAACCCTCAGATTTGTAAAATGTTTTACGCTTTATCAAGTGTTTGTCATTCTCTGCTAATAAACAAGAGTTTAAAACCACATCCTTTACCCACTAGTGAAGGAGTCTAAGTTAAGCCTGGGCGTAATCAACAACACTAATTATCATATAGGTCGATATTGGTAATAATCACGATAGATACATTATTATTTCTTTCTCGTTTGAAGACAGATTATTGCTCCTGAGTGAAGGTTGTGGTTTTAAAAGTATTCACTTGATAAACAGCAAAACACTATAAATTTGTGGTGGTTCAATTATGTGTTATACCTCCTCACTGTACTTACACTATTAGAATCAGAATCAGGGTTTATTGCCAATTAGATTTACAAATACAATGTCATGTATCGGTGCTCACATACCATGATGCCCTCGGCCATGCTCTCGGTCAGGATGTCGTCTGCCTGCAGTAACTGAATGAGCATCTCATCCACCACCAGCTGTCTGCAGAGAACCGCAGATCGTCTCCGCAGAGTCCGTCTGTCCCGCTCCAGCATGCCACACTCCAACATGTCGATCTGCACACAGGACACAACACAGAGACACACAAACCTCAGTGACAGGATGGATAACTCCAGTATCTCACAACAACACCAGCATCTCACTGCTACACAACTCCAATATCTCACTTCAACACAACTCCAGCATCTCACTGAAACACAACTCCAATATCTCACTATAACACAACTCCAATATCTCACTGAAACTATAACACAACTCCAATATCTCACTGAAACTACAACACAACTCCATTATCTCACTGAAACTACAACACAACTCCATTATCTCACTGCAACTACAACACAACTCCATTATCTCACTGCAACTACATTTACATTTAGGGCATTTAGCAGACGCTTTTGTCCAAAGCGACTTACAATAAGTGCATTTGTCACAAGAGAGAAACCACAGCATGGTAAAACGAAATATAGAAACAATTCTCAGGCCCTCATCTGAGGATCGTAACTACTATTTGTGAAATATTATTTAAGTGCATAAGTGCTATGATTGAAGGGGTGTCATGCTATGCAGGGTCGAGGTGAAGTCTGAACAAATGAGTCTTGAGTCTTTTGCGGAAGATGGAGAGCGATTCCGCTGTCCTGACATTGGTCAACACAAATCTCCAGCATCTCACTACAACACAACTCCAGCATCTCACTACAACNACAACTCCAGCATCTCACTACAACACAACTCCAGCATCTCACTACAACTCCAGCATTACTATGTTTGTATAAACAAACCCGTCTGCCTGTGCTTCAGTGTGCTTCAGTGTACTTGTCGCTTGGCTCTCTCACTGGGACACATCGCTACACAAACCAACAACACACACATCGTGTTGTCTCTTCACAACAACACACTTGAACACTGCAGTCAGAGTTGACTTCACATTCACAGGTAAACCGAACGCCGACGGCTAACAGCAAATGCTAACATGCTAGCTAGCGAACTTAAGACAGCTCCTTCTCTCCCCTCCATGACGCTGAGGGACATCTCCTCTCCAGCGCTTCTCCTCACCGTCCAGCTGCTCCTGCACCGCTGCGAGAAAACGTCCAGGGGAAATAAAAACAGAGCCTCGACGTGTTTCACTCTATTTCACGCAAATCATCAACATTTGATCGCGTCTTCGTAAACCAACTTCCGCGGGTAGTCTTGACGGCACAGAGTGGGGGCGGGGCTGTTCGGGAGTGCAGACCAATGACAGCGCGATGGCCTCTGAGTGGCGTTTTGAGGAGCCAATCGCCTGGCTTCTTACAGCTGGCGGCCGCCTCCTGCTGAACTTCGCGGATACCCAGTGGATTCAGGGACATTTTGAATTTGAATCATAGAAAAAACGTGTTTTCTATTAATAATTGACCAACTGATAAAGAGCAGCGACACAAGCAGCTCTCTAATAGAAGCGAGTCTAACATAAACATCATGTGACGCTATTGGCTGGAAGAACGTGGA